CATTATATATTTTAAGGACTGTCTTAAAGTGGTCACTATAGACAGGTGGTCTTTATACACAGGTTGTCTATACCTGTATATATGCCTTGGGACTGTCTAAAAGTGGTCACTATAGGCAGGTGGTCTTTATACATAGGTTGTCTATACCTGTATATATGCCTTGGGACTGTCTAAAAGTGGTCACTATAGACAGGTGGTCTTTATACACAGGTTGTCTATACCTGTATATATGCCTTGGGACTGTCTAAAAGTGGTCACTATAGGCAGGTGGTCTTTATACTACAGGTTGTCTATACCTTATATATGCCTTGGACTGTCTAAAAGTGGTCACTATAGGCAGGTGGTCTTTATACACAGGTTGTCTATACCTGTATATATGCCTTGGGACTGTCTAAAAGTGGTCACTATAGGCAGGTGGTCTTTATATACAGGTTATCAATACCTTTATATATGCTTTGGATTGTCTAAAAGTGGTCACTATGGGCAGGTGGTCTTTATACACAGGTTGTCTATACCATTATATATTTTTAGGACTGTCTAAAAGTGGTCACTATAGACAGGTGGTCTTTATACACAGGTTGTCTATACCTGTATATATGCCTTGGGACTGTCTAAAAGTGGTCACTATAGACAGGTGGTTTTTATACACAGGTTGTCTATACCTGTATATATGCCTTGGGACTGTCTAAAAGTGGTCACTATAGACAGGTGGTCTTTATACACAGGTTGTCTATACCTGTATATATGCCTTGGGACTGTCTAAAAGTGGTCACTATAGACAAGTGGTCTTTATATACATGTACAGGTTATCAATACCTTTATATATGCCTTGGATTGTCTAAAAGTGGTCACTATAGACAGGTGGTCTTTATACACAGGTTGTCTATACCTGTATATATGCCTTGGGACTGTCTAAAAGTGGTCACTATAGACAGGTGGTCTTTATATACAGGTTATCAATACCTTTATGTATGCTTTGGATTGTCTAAAAGTGGTCACTATGGACAGGTGGTCTTTATACACAGGTTGTCTATACCATTATATATTTTTAGGACTGTCTAAAAGTGGTCACTATAGACAGGTGGTCTTTATACACAGGTTATCAATATCTTTGTATATGCCTTGGACTGTCTAAAAGTGGTCACTATAGGCAGGTTGTCTTTATATAGAGGTTGTCATACCTTTATATATGCTTTAGGACTGTCTAAATGTGGTCACTATAAGCAGGTGGTTGTTATACACAGGTTGTCTATACCTGTATATATCCCTTGGGACTGTCTAAAAGTGGTCACTATAGACAGGTGGTCATTGTATAGAGGTATATATAAACACAGGTTTAATTGTACTTGAAAAATAAATTTGTTCAGCTTTTTAGGAATTGTATTCATATGGGTAGCTTCATCATCTGAACACTACCCATGTGTGTTTTATTGGTGTCACAAATGTTTGTGATGTAGTGCGCCCTCTGAGTCGATGTAACACGCACGCACTAAGATTTGTTTTGTCGCAACTAGTTGTACATATTTACTGGTACGTCATTGATGCAACTGAAAATTGTACATTGATATATCTTGAAAAAAATTATGGAATTTTTACATTTTATAAACAAAATAAGTGTAAAAACAAAGAAAGTTACAGACCTCAACCTTTTTGTACATGATTGAAATCACATGCAATTTCAATTTTTCCTGAAGACACACCTTTCCAGCAGTAAACAAAATGATTTTTGATGACTCAATTTTTACTTGAGATCCTTACAAAATCAATTCCGTCAGAAAAAGTTTAATGCATTTACTGCTTCCAAATTTATCCCATACTTGTCCGTCAAATTTTGGCACACCTTTTTTTTTATTTTCCAAAACACTAATAATTCTACTCAATGTATTCAATTTGGCTGCTTGATCGTTGTGATTCGCAACCATTTTCGCTTGTGGTAATGACATTGCATGATGTACTGTAAAACATGTTGAAAAATCGACATACTATTGTAGAATACTTTATTTTCGCTTGGAATTAATTTTCGCTATTTTCGCTTAAGGAATGATTCAGTGAAAATAAAATCGAGCCATTATACCTTTTTTCTTAGATTTTACATTCAACTCATCAAAAATCAGTAAAAATAAATTCCATACAAAACACCCAAAAAGTATTTTCAGCAAAAATTAATTCCAGCTAAAATAAAGTATTTTACAGTTTTAGCGAATTGTGGTAAAATAGCGAAATGTTGATTTAGCGAATCTCTCTTGTCTTTGTTGATTTCCTGTTTTCACAATACTTGTCTGTCGCCTGCCAAAACAAATGCACAGTTATCACCTCCATAAAAACAAAGAAAAACTGTCAAGTGTAATAAGGAAGCGCCCCAGATTATTACATTTTCTGTGTTTACAAAGTGAGTGTATGGAGAAAAACACGTTGTTTGGCCGCCATTTTGAATGTATAATGAAGTCATTAGCGACATCTTAAATTAGCAAATTAGTTCTCTCACTAAAATGCCATGCTCACGAAAAAGACATGTTTTACAATATTCAGTACAACTTTTGGAATTATTTTAATTTTCCAAGCAGCATGATGTTGTGTATATTTTTGAAAAGTATTTGTTTAAATCCAAAGTTATCACAGGGATACACAAAAGCATTAAATTGTAGTGGAGGTCAATGCCATCAAGTACTGCCTGAGTTCATGATTTGCAGTTTTCTTCTTGGGATAACCATGGTGATATACATTTTTTCCTGCTTATTGTCACAATTTATTGAATTATGTGATATTATTTCCGTTGTGTTCTTTTGTAATCCAAGAAGATTGTTCAAGTGAAGAGTGATGTGCATTGTCCGAACGAAGGTGTTTGTAAAAACATGTTATAATGCATTTGTAAAACTGTCTGTAACACTTACAAAAATGTCTGTAAAGGATTCTGTATGGCTGATACATTTCAATTATTAATATACATCTGTATTTCCAAAAATTTTAGTATGTCATAATTTTGTGGTTTGGGCGTGGTAGATGTGTGTGTGTAGGCAGGATATGAATAAATATTATTGTAACCAGATGAGAAAATGTTAATATGCAAATTAGCTTATTAAATATGCAAGTACAATAAACGCCCACTTTGAATAAATATTATTGTAACTAGATGAGCAAGTGTTAATATGCAAATTAACCTATTAAATATGCAAGTACAATAAATGCCCACTTTGAATAAATATTATTGTAACTAGATGAGAAAGTGTTAATATGCAAATTAGCCTATTAAATATGCAAGTACGATAAACGCCCACATTGAATAAATATTATTGTAATC